CCTATTATCTGTTGTAGACTCTAATATCAGATGTATAGACCCTATTATCTGTTGTAGACTCTAATATCAGATGTATAGACCCTATTATCTGTTGTAGACTCCATTATCAGATGTATAGACCCTATTATCTGTTGTAGACTCCATTATCAGATGTATAGACCCTATTATCTGTTGTAGACTCCAATATCAGATGTACAGACCCTATTATCTGTTGTAGACTCCAATATCAGATGTACAGACTCTGTTATCTGTTGTATAAACTTCATTATATGTCAGTATTTCTCAACCACCAGTACATCACAAACACCTTGCTGTTCCATATAATTTCAGTGTATTTTAGTGACACTCAGTAAAAGTTTCTTCTCCAAGTAGCATGGAAAGTAATTAAAATTGTTTTCTCATATCGACATTTAAATAATTCCACGTTAAAGGTGTATCAGCTGTTCATATAATATACAAAATTTTCATAAGGCTTACATTTGGTAGAAATGTTGGTATAACTTTAAAAGATATACAGTTATGGAAGCTATATTACTTTAGTATAAATGTGAACCAATAAAGGTTAGATTTTTATCGTAAGATATGGCAGTATTATAATATTTAATTGTTTTAGACTCCTGCTGATTAACTTATATTTATTTTTTCAGCTGAAAATCCTTTCCTAGATGTACCAAGATTAGGTACGTTCTGTTATTAATGTTATAATATTTCTCCAATCTCTTACGTTTTTCGACATCTTCCGGGTGTTTGTTTTAGAAAATCCACGTTAAAAAGTGTTTGATGTGTTTTGAAACAGTGTTATTCTGTGAGAAATCCTACGTCACTAGCTATGTTTTCATAAATTAATGTATTTTTTGTATTTTATTATTTTGTATCCAGCTCTCTTATTTGTTTGTTTCTTCTTATCACATGAAAGAAAAGTTGGAGTCGCTATTAAATGTGTTGATAACAGGAGTGATGGTATGAAAGCTTATTGAGCAGGTAGAACAAAAAGAAGTAATAAAGGAAAACCAAACAGGATTTTGGATAGGGTATGCCAGTACAAATAAATATTTCTTTTAGATCTTCTAATGAAAAAAATAAAGGCCAAAAAACAGTTGTTTGCATTTTTTGAGACACTAAATGTGCCTTTTAATATTGTGTGTAAAAAGAAAAAAGTGTTAGAAATGTTAAAGTTAGAGAAATTATACATTTATTTTAATTTTTATAAAGAAACTAAAGCATTTTAATGATGAGAGGAGTCAGCCAAGGATGCCCTATTCTCCTAGGCCTATTCTTCGTTTCTGTAAGTAACTTACAAAATGAATGGACAGTAAAATATTTTGTGGAAAGTGTGATAGCTGAGAGAAAAACAACATCTGCCTAAGATATTTGGATGACATCTTAATGGTAGCAGATTATCTGGAGAAAAGATAATACTTGAAAAATTTATGGAGAAGAATAAACTCACTTTAAATTTAGGTAAATTAAAAATATTGGTTCGTATAAATGGGAGAAGAACAGTGAAGAATGAAAAATGAGAATACAAAGGCCAGCTGATGGAGAATGTGGTCTACAAAATATGGGATATTAAATTAACAAGAGATACAATACAAAGTAACAGATAAAGTATTTTGAGGTATAAATTATAATGAGCGGTAAATGTGGGATGAAAGAACTATAATGTGGACACGTATAAAAAGGTGCACTTGTTTGAAAGTCTGGCAAATTATATCATTAACTGTGGAGGAGAAAGAAAGAAAGAACAAATGTCGACACAATATATACACGATGGACGTTGGGCTCAGATAGAAACATGTTGGTAACTTGTACACTGAAGAAAAGTTGTGAACATATTTTGGATATATTGACGATGAACTGTGGGTAAAACGTTGCTTGGAAGTAATTGAAAAAAGAAAAGGAAAGAATAAAAGATTGGGGGGGATGAAGAGAACAATGGAAATGCTTTAATATGTGAAATAATAGTTCAAAGGGGAACAAGTTAAAAAGATAGAAAACAAAAGCTTAAGGAGTGGATAATAAAGAAATTGAGGTAAATCTGGAAATTTATCAAAACTCGTATAGTGAGTATTAAAAGATATAAAATAAGAAGTAAGAAAGAATGGAAGGTTATATAAAACCAAAAGAAGATTGTAAAAATATTCAGTTATGGCAAGAATAAGGTGTGGTAATGGTCGAAAAGGGATAAAGGAGGGAAAAGAGAAAACATAGAATTTTTAAAGGAATTAAAGAAAAGTATCCACATTAAGCCTAAAGGATAGAAAATTGGAGGATGTTTGGATATGGAGAATATTGTAGAATAACTGTGTGGTGGATTTGTAAAGAAATTCAAGATATTTGGACATAGTTGATAAGAGATTATGAACTTTTGCAAATAACTTAAAGATTTTATGTTCAAAGTTGTATACTTAATTAATCTAATTGTAAAATATACTGTAAAGGGTAACACACATCTGGTAGCCTAAGGAATATGTAACATTGAATTGATATTTGTTCAAATAATAAGAGGTAGTTTACAGAAACAGTTTGAGATCATCTGAAGAAAGCTAACTCTCTTCATTACTTCTTACTCACAGGCCGTGATGGGAACAGCAGTGCTCGGAGCAGTATAAGTGAAGACTCTGATATCAGTGCATCATCCACACGTACTTATATACATGAAAACTCCACTCTTGTTGTTGAAACTAATGAGAATGGTGTGATTAAGTGAGTACCATATTAAGATGTTTTGTACTACACGTACTTACATACATCAAAACTCCACTCTTGTTGTTTAAACTAACAAGAATGGTGTGATTAAGTACCATATTAAGATGTTTAGTACCACACATACTTACATACATGAAAACTCCACTCTTGTTGTTGAAACTAACAAGAATGGTGTGATTAAGTGAGTACCATATTAAGATGTTTAGTACCACACATACTTACGTACATGAAAACTCCACTCTTGTTGTTGAAACTAACAAGAATGGAGTGATTAAGTACCATATTAAGATGTTTAGTAATTGTTCTTAATAATGCTAAACCCATTTGATAAAATATGCAGCTTAAAAACATAGAGGTCTGTTATATTCTTAAAAACATCCAAAAATATTTTGAATACAATTGTGTCTAATTGATATGTTAGAAGTAAATCTCCCAACTGTTATTTATTTCATATTGCAATAACGTAAAAAAAGATAAGAATTTATTTAATGAAATATTTTCACACACTTAAAAGAAATTTAGATTTTTATGACCTAGCTTTATTTTCAGAGCATGAAATTCAAACAGAAACAGTAAATAAATATAATGTATATAATTAATGAACTGTCTTGTTCTAACTGTTGTTATGGTGTAAAAGACTTGCTTGAAGCATGATTATAATAAATTATATTTGTCATCAGATAATAATAGAAGACTTACAAGTATTTTCAAACACTAAATATTTTGTTTGGTCCCTCAGTGTTTTTCATAAAGGACTGAATAAAGAATGTAGTTATATAAAATATATTAGATGTTATACTATTATCTTACCGTATCTATAGCTGTAGTTTTATAAAATACATTAGGTGTTATATAGATACGGTAAGATAATAGTAGCTGTCGTTTCATAAAATATATTAGATGTTATACTATTATCTTACCGTATCTATAGCTGTAGTTTTATAAAATACATTAGGTGTTATACTATTATCTTACCGTATCTATAGCTGTCGTTTCATAAAATATATTAGATGTTATATTATTATCTTATCGTATCTATAGCTGTAGATTTATAAAACACATTAGATGTTATACTATTATCTTACCGTATCTATAGCTATATAAAACACATTAGATGTTATACTATTATCTTACCGTATCTATAGCTATAGTTTTATCATTGTTGCATTAAGAATACTGAAGATGAGCAAAGATTTATATTTCTAGGTTAATAAATATTTAATTATCCTCACTAAAGTATAATAATATTTTATTTAGTAGAAATATGTATACTTCACATTTATTCATTAATCTATTTTCAACATTTTTATCATTTCAGTTGTAAACATTTAATTTTATGAAGTATAGTGCTGGGATGAGTAAAATAATTGATTCACAGCTAGTAATTCACTATATATATATATAGTTTGTTTTGTTTTTTACAGGCATTATATAATTCCAGGATCTCTTGCTAATCGTAGCAAATGGAGAAAGAGAGGCATAAAACTACATATATATAATGACCACATATTTGTTGCCAAGCATCTATCTGGGTGTGTATTGTTACATACATTGTTATACAACTTTCTGTCTGTGTGTATTGTTATATAACATTGTTTTACAACTTTCTGTCTGGGTGTGTATTGTTATATAACATTGTTATACAACTTTCTGTCTGTGTGTATTGTTATATAACATTGTTATACAACTTTCTGTCTGGGTGTGTATTGTTATATAACATTGTTATAGAACTTTCTGTCTGGGTGTATTGTTATATAACATTGTTTTACAACTTTCTGTCTGGGTGTGTATTGTTATATAATGCTGTTGTACAACTTTCTGTCTGGGTGTGTATTGTTATATAACATTGTTGTACAACTTTCTGTCTGGGTGTGTATTGTTATATAACATTGTTTTATAACTTTCTGTCTGAGTGTATTGTTATATAACATTGTTTTATAACTTTCTGTCTGAGTGTA